AAATCTTCCAAGGTTTATATCAAAGTATCAATTACAAAGAATGGCTCAACTGCACAATAAAATTTACAAGAAAAATCAGACTAAGAAAAATCAACCACTAAAGGGCGATCAAAATCTAGTTTCGCTGATAGTTCTGGAAGAACTAAAATATTAAACAGTTTCGAACTACGCAGCACAAATGAAATAAGGATCAGAGGGAAATGTAAACGCTGCAAAATTAATCAAAGATCTATTTAACCTCAGATTAGTTTTTTCAAACATCCATTTTCATTAGTTTTTAAGTAGTGCTACAGTCATATCGTGCTTCCATGTTCTTTATGTTCAAAATAAAAATTTTCTGCGTTTTTTTTTGAAGAATCATTCTTATTCGGCAATAACTATATTATAATTCTATCAAACATCATAATCCGACTCCATATTGGATACGCCATATTGAATTTCTGTTTTTTGACAGCAGATTTGAAACCAGCGTCCTCAAAAACCTTTCTGTACCAAACTTCGTGAGGATGATACAGATATATTTTTTGCCAGCTTTTTGGGTGCGCACTGTGCATCCGTGCGAAAAGGTCTCGAGCATGGATAATGTAGTTGGGGCGGCAGCACCCCAAACATGTGTGCAGTACTCGAGACTAGGTATTATCTGAACCTTGTACAGAGCGAAGAGGTTATGAGGTGTGTGGTTATATTACTATTTTTCGCCATTACAATGCCTTTTCACTGGAAGTTTGTGAGAAAAAATGTTTCACCTTCTCGACGTACCGCCCCTGCGTTGTAAGTAAAAATCCTGCAAACAAGGTAGGATAGGGAATATCAACGTGGAGACGAAATACTGTTTCTTACATAAAAGCCTGCTCTTATTTGTTCTGGATAGTTGTTGTGAGTTTAATGGCCCGTTTGTCTTTCAAAATTACTTTTCGTCTGCTGCATCCGGCCTTTGCAGGGATTTTGTAACATCCTTTTACGCAAAAGATTATTAATTTATTTTAGTTTGTTTTCTCACTGCTACTCAAGGCGGTACGGAAATCATATGGTATGCCTATGTTAATATACTTAGTTACATAAAAAATGAACACCCAGGAATAATGAATTTTTGTGATATCGTCGCGTCGCCAATATCTTACACCAGAGAATGTTCGCACAGGCTGTTACAATAGGTTAGGTTACTGTCAAACCCAAGAAGGAGGTCTGTTCGAACATTTATTTTAATATCTTGTTTTCATTTTGATTAGAATTATTTATTTTAATTTTAAGTCGGTGAATATACAGATTGAAATATAGATAAAATGAAGTACGATACGGACAACAATAGGAACATAAAAAGGAAATATCATACATACATACATGGTCATAAATTATTTATTAAGATCTATCAGAAGCATTGTGGAATGTGAGAAATTCAGCCAGGTCATCAAAAGCGCAATCCGATAGCTTGTTCCGCGAACATCTTTTGAAAAGTCCTACAGAGTTTACGTTTTTAATCATTGGACGTAATAAGTTGAAAAAGTATATCTCGGCTGGTATGGGAGATTTTGTATGAAATGTAGGATAAGTTACAGGCCTAACTATATTATTTTTATTACGAGTGCTGTAGTAGTCATGGAGATCAGTATGTTTAAGATAATCATTTTTGACTTGAAAAATACATGTTAAAAGTTTATAAAGAAGACATATACATACATGCAACTGTAAGTATTTTATATTCAAAAATATCTCACGAAAGGAGGATCTACACCGTATTTTAAATACGGGCCCCTTCCCACTTCAGTTGGCCCTACTATTGAAATCTTAGTTTTTTTCTTATCAAACACAAATAATAAAAATGTAGCAGGGTATTATAGGTTCAAAATATTAACAATGAATATTTTGATAATATATAGTAGAAACCACCAACTTTGTCACTCACACACAAATAACACATGTTGCAATTACAGCATATCAACCTATTTTCATTTCAATGCAAAATAAGTCTATAACGCATAGGAGGCTGTGAAAAATAAAAGCCATGACAATTGTTTTTATTAATCACAGCTGTCAGAATACGTTTAAAATAGTTTTGGGTAGTTAAGGTTTTCAAAATGGGTAGAGGAAAGGTTATTAGTGAGAAAATTCGGTTACTGATAATTAAATGTCTTAATTCTGGGAAATCAAACTCAGAAATTGCTACTTTGTTAGACTTATCGCGGTACAGTGTGAGAAATATTGTTAGAAGATATAACGTAACTGGTTCAGTTAATATTAACCCACGATATGTGAAAAAAAGTAATATCACAAATGCCGACCGAAGAGCATTAAGAAGAATAATCGTGAAAAACAGGCTTGCCAATTATTTACAATTAAGTGCTCTGTCGAGTGACGCTGTTGGAAGGAGAATTTTGAGGTCCACAACTCATAGAGGCCCACAAACTGGGATTTAGCACTTGCAAGGTAAGTTTTCTTATAAAAAAAGTGAAGTAAAAACCCTGAAGTTGCACATCCTGTTTATAGGCCAAAGAAAAGCCACTATTAACTCCACTGCAAAAGAAAAATCGGCTTAGATGGGCTAAAGAACATAGACAATGGATACCTCAATAATGGTGTGCAATACAATGGAGTGATGAGGCCCGATTCGAAGTTTGTGTTGGTGACAGTCAGTAGAGTTATTCGCAAAAAAATGAAGCATTCCATGTTGACTGTCTGAAGAGAAAAGTGAAATTTCCAGCATCCATTATGGTCTGGGGCAGTATGTCATCAAAAGGAGTAGGAAAACTTCATTTTATTGATGGAAATGTGGATACAAACAAATATTTGGCAATTTTAGAAGAATCGCTTTTACCAGTGATGGAAGAATGTTTGACATCTGGCCAAGATTTTGTGTTTCAGCAAGATGGTGCAGCGTGCCATACCTGAAAAAAGGCTATAAAATGGATGGAAGAAAATAATGTACCACTTTTGAAATGGGTTTCTAGCAGTCCACCTATTGAAACTTTGTCGCACGAGATGAAAAAGGTTCTACGATAACATCCTGCTCGTACAATCACCGAACTGAGACAAAAGCTTCAAGAAATATGGGATTGTTTTACACCAAATTTTTGCCAAAACTTGGTTAACACTATGCCTCAAAGAATTTCAGCCATATTAAAAAATAAAGGTGATGTTACCCAATCGTAATCTTTCAATTGTTGCTTTGTAAAGTTCGAGAATTTATTCGCACATTGTTTATTTGTTCAGATGTTCTCTTAGTTATAGGTCTGATTTCAAATATGTATTTTCTACGACTAGAGGGTATCTAAAATGTTTTTGAGAAAATGAATTGTTTTAGAAGTAAATAGTTTCGTCATGTTTAGTTCATAAAGGCATATTTTAGTACAAATCTTGAAGTGGGCCAACTGAAGTGGGAAGGCGCTCGTATAATGCGAATGATTGTTTTTTGTAAGACAAACACTCTATAGATTTCACTAGCCTGACCCCACGCAGTAATGCCATATGAAATGAGAGAGTGTACACGCGCACAGTAGACATCCATTAATGCTGAGGTGTTTTACATCCTCCCTAGCGTAAGTATTAGGTACAAACTTTTTACATACGGAATCAATTTGTTCTGTCCATTTTAAGTTGCAATCAAAGTTGACTCCTAAAAACACAGTATTTTTAGATGTTACAATTGTCTTGCATTGAAAACTGAAATCAATTTTTGGTGTCATGACATATTCAACTGAAACGGCCTTTGTTGTATTTATTATTAGTCTGTTTTTGAAGCACCATTGACTGAACTCATTAACCGAATCATTAATTTGTTTTTTGAAGACGCTCTTGCGATGAGTCAGCTAAAATATTTGTATCGTCTGCATACAAAAGTAATTTTCCATAGGATAAGCGTGCAGACAAATCATTTATGAAAATCTAGAAAAGTGGTTCAAGGACGCTGCCTTGAGGTGAGCCCCAGTCTAAATTAAATTCATCAGATTTTGTATCAGCGACAGTAACATAAAACGGTCTATTCTCTAAAAAGCTAATAAGCAATTGATTCAAACATTTGCGAATGCCGACATAATGAAATTTATCAGCTACAAAAGACGAACTTACACAATCAAAAGCCTGAGGCAAGACAAATTGGATACCACTTACCTAACAGACAAATTTGGTTTTTCCTGCATTGTATTAATACGCTTTTTATCTGAATTACCAAATCATACATAAAACCCTTGTCTAGAGTACCAATACTACAAAAAGGTCATTCAACATCATTCCTTCTGGAATCAAATGCATACGAAATTTGAATGAATTTAAAAAAGAGCTTGAGAAGTGGCTTCTATCTATACCTCGAATAAAGATACATTGAGAAATTGATTTAAAAAAGACTTACACTGTCATTCAATCTCTGCTTCGATTTTATTAATTGTCATTGAGCACTTAAATTGTGATTGCATAACCTGGATGTGTCTTCTTACCTGATTGTGATCCTTTTAACAAACTGTGAGTGCTGATAATTTATATTATGGACGTGATATGTCTTATTTTTATATCTAATGTTATTCATCCACGAACAAGGAGTAATCCTTCCTATGGGACTCTCATTTATTCGTTTATCTCTTGATTTTTTAATATTCTATCCTGTAATGAATTGTGCGAATAAATTATACTTCTACTACACAATCATTTTGTTACAGTGAAAGACCAATATTTCAAAAGCTAGGCTAACAAGCTCTTTACTCCTCAGACGAAACTTTCATGCGTCGTAACAGCCAGATGTTGCACGTAGATACTGCAAGATGGTGTGTTTGTTGGTACCTAGCGGTACTAAATATACCTCGATAAGTCATTTCAGGCGACTTCATTAACGGAATGTTTGGATATTTGTACACGAAGACAGCCGGTAGCAATCAACAGCTACCGCAAGCGACGTCTGGCTTAGATTAGAAGCCTTGATTTCGTGGGGAGCTGTAACGCAACGAACTTGCATACCGGGTGAATCAAAACAGCGAGTATGATTAGTAAACAACAATTTAAGAGCAAGGAAAAATGGGCGTCGGCGGGATTCGAACCCGCATCACTTGGAGCCGGCCTAACCAATTAGTCTACAACTCAGACTAAAAATATAAATAGACAAATAATTCCCTACAAAATACAAAATATCGTCGTCAACATAACTGTATTTACGGTAAACAAATATATGCGACGCTGCCACTTCTCCATACTGAAAAATCTATTGAAAATGGAATGAGATATTGGTGTGCACTCCGCCCGAAATGAAGGTGGACTTAAATAAGGTGTGGACGCTCCGGTCGATCGTGGGTCGATCAAACAACTGCTCCTAGGCAGTTGTCAACGTCATTTTAAATTTTAAAAATTTATTTTTTCTTTTCATATTTGTTTATACTCGCAAAAACGGTCACAGAGGTGGCCGACACGCCGTAAATTCAATTCAAAACGGATGCAGGTTCATGTTGTATAATATTTTGTCCAGTCAGTTGTTTGACTGGATTTGTTCCACCTTGGACGAAACTTGCTCTCATTCGAAAGTAGCACATTTCTACCGACTTTTTGCCGAACGTGGCAACGGTGTTCAACGGCAAGTGGTGGATGCGTACACAGAATTTACAAACATCTGGTGTTTGTTGTTGTGCACAGTGAATTTGTTGCGAGTATTCAAAAGTGTTTTCAGGTTGTTTTAGCGGCAATTATAGCATTGTTATCATTGATAGACAATTTTCAAAGACAATGGGACGTCGGAAGTGCATTCTTTGTGAAGTTAGCAGTGAAAAACTGAGGCAACCTTCCACAGGTGAGTTAGAGGTTAGGGGAGGACAAGGGCGTAGCGCATGGGGATGCGTTGTGATTTTTAGTATTAAGAAATAGACATTTTATAGTTATTGGTTGTTTTTACACTGTATGTGTGGTGATTTTCAAAAAATACTCTTCTGTTAGACACGTTTTTGATCTTTCAGGTTTTCTAGTGATGAGAAAAAACAAGAAGAATGGTGCACTATCCTCAATATTGAGATAAATGATTTACCACTTCATGCCTTTATTTGCGCAAATCATTTTCACAAAAGTGATTTAATAGACGGCAAAAGAACTCAACTAAAGCATTCAGCAGTTCCATCAGTAGAGCCTTTGAGGCAAACAGAGTAAGTCCTTAATTATATTTAGCTATTGGATGAAATTGAATATTTTGTTGCTATACTTTTACTTATCTATTTTAAAGTGATTCCAGTGATGAGGAGAATGAAATCAATCTTGCCCAGGAAATTGCCCTAAGCCATTCAAATAGCGAACAACTGGAAAGCAGGAATCTACCTAGGTATGAAATTAAATAATCTCCAAAGTATCTAGAAGTTTGACTATTGAAGTGTTTACAGAGAACAAATAAAGTCACCAGAAGTAGCAACAGAAATGGTATGTGAATACAGTTTTCCTGAACAAGATCGAACAACAGATAGTAGCACCCTATCAGCTTCGCTGTCAGGCACCCAGTCATTATCTGAATCCGCTACATTAAGTGCTCACCACAGTCCCGTACCCATGCCTCAGAATTAGATATGATGTACGTACCTATCTACTTTTATTTTCAAGTTCAGCCAGCTAATATCAGTCTTTATTTTAGTGCATTGTATTTTCATTATTTCAGGATTTTAAACACATTCATAGAAGCAAAAGGTGACAGTGAGGAAGATAACCTCAAAGAAAATGATAGTGATGGTGAATCTCCACGGAAAAGGTATTAAGCTTTTATTTTGATTCTTCAAGTATAGTCTGGTGGTAATTAAACCTGAAGTAAAGATTTGATAAAAGGTGACGTTTATGTAGATTTGGCGTTTGCTTTATAGTAGCATTTAAGCTTTGAATGTTTCAGAATGAAAACAAAACATATTCGATACTTCGGCGATATACGTTATACTGATTTGGAAAACCCACTTAAAAGGCTAATTTTCTGGAAAGTCATTCAAAACACGTATAAGAAACAAAGAAAGACAATTGACTGTTTACGAGCCAAAACAAGAAGACAAGCAAACAAAATTTGGTCTCTTCAATTATTGACAAACCATTTGAAGCGAATAAATATGATATCGGAGAATGCTCAACACATGCTTGATGTAAGTGATTACATGTTTATTTTTTGATTGTTATTAAAAATCCTCATTTCTCAGGGCACCATTGCAGAAGACATTTTCAACAAAATTCAAAGAGGCCGAAAAAAAGAAAAATATAGTGCAGAACTGCGTCGCTAAATGGCTAAAATGGCTATCAGAGTCTACAGAGTACGCTAAATCCCCAAGTATACCGTTATGTATAAAACGATTTATAACCAACTTAAGCTCCACAATAAATGTAGTCTCAGAATCTTCCTAAATAATATTTCATACAGGGTTGACCAAACAGACTATTTTACAATACTCGAAAGACCGAATCTTTAGGCCATCTCCTCCTGGAATGTCCATTATACAATCCATTGAGAGAGCATATTCTGTCAGATCGTTTGAACCAAATCTGTGTCTTTGCTTGCCTAAATAAAACGAATGAGTTGAATTTATGATACAAACTTTTTAAATACTTTAGGGAACTATTTAAGATCTTTCTTAAGGAATGAATAGTTTTTTTGTGCCTTCAAGATCAAGACAATATTTAAATTGATGCGTCAATTATTTATTCTTTTTCTGTTTGTTTATATATTTTTTTATATACAACTTTTGATCATGGTTACTATCATTTTCTTACTATTTTTTTTGTATTCATACTCTGGACAGGAAATTTTGTACTCAATTCTTATTATTTACATAATACTCTCTCTCTTGTTTATATACCTTTGTACTAGGTATTATGAAACAATAAACCTGATAATTAAGTTCCAATAATAAAACCTTGTTTACTTCTCTGTGTTTATTCTTTTCACTGCCATGGAAGGTGATACTGGGTGTATTAACCAGAACTAACAAAAAAAGCACCTACGCCACTGGTGGAATCAGCTGTGGTCTGCACATACACAGCTTATTGTTTGTATTTGTTTTGAATTGGGTTTGTTTGTCTTCATGCATTACAGTGCCGTAAGAATGGTAAGTCTATTTATATTTTTAGTCTGAGGTCTACAACACCAGCTGCCAACTAACTTCCAGGATAGAATGTTAGAGGCAAATTCAATCCTACCAATGACAGTGCTCTTTTGTTCTTTCAAGCTGCTTGGTGCACCATCTGGTGGTGTTCGATTGAAACAAACCGGATTGGTAAGGTATCTCCAATCATTTATTAGTTGCAACACGCCATCCCGTGGACAGACTAACGGAAATGAGTGACAATTTTTGGAGATGTGCGTTTACAATAAGCTAATTTATAACGAAACACTTTTTGATGTAAAAAACATAATAATTCAGCAACAGTATGTATTTTTTTTATTTAATAAACCCAAATAAACTAATAACTAATGCATACTGCATAACTACATCCATTCCTACCAATCGTAGATGTTTGAAATTTTTCGTCAGCTACAATGGCATGTCACATACGATTTAATAAACAAAATAAAAAACGCAACGCACTATCTTAAACAAAAACATGTCCACACACGCATACTCACTGACAATTTTTCTCATGTTTGGAGTATTATGGTATTTGATACTGCCATTCGAATACAATTATACAAACAATCATCTGTAAATCGATTACGGTATTTGTCTTTAATAAACTTCATATTTGAAAAAGAAGATTCACTCAAATAACTAAGTGACATATAGGTGATGTCAGGCATGGCTTCGAGAAGGCCGTACGTAAAGAGCAAGGGGCACTGGACGCCGCCGTAGAACAACAGACCGTGAAGATCGCCGCCTAAGATTATTGGCCTTAAGGGACCGTTTCTCCACTACCAGGTCCATTACAAATGAACAGTTTGCAGAACACGGAAGACCTATTGGCATGCGAAGTGTTTACCGACGGATTAGAAGTTTTGGCTTGATTTCATACCGGCCACACTGGGTCCTCCCTTTAACTCGAGAACACCGACGTAATCGCCTTGAGTGGTGCAGACAACGGTCACTCTGGGATCAGGAATGGAACAGTATTGTTTTTAGTGACGGGTCTCGATTTTGTTTAGGCATGCACGATGGTCGTGCCAGGGTTAGAAGGCGACGTGGTGAAAGGAGGAATCCACAGTTTTTTGTTGAAAGACATGTTCATCACACTGTTGGAGTTATGGTTTGGGGTGCTATAGCTTATGGTTCCAGGTCACCTTTAATCTTCATCAGAGGTAACATGAACGCGCAGCGTTATATCCACGAAGTTCTAGAACCCCATCTTTTACCCTATCTTGACACCCTGGCAGATCCAACTTTCCAACAAGATAATGCCCGACCACATGTTGCAAGAGTCACAATAGACTTCTTTCAACATAATGATGTTACATTGTTACCATGGCCACCAAGATCTCCCGACTTATCCCCAATTGAGCACGTGTGGGATATGATGGGTAGGAGATTGCTCAATTTGCAACGTCCTCCTCAGACTCTAGAAGCACTTCGAGAGGAGTTGGTGGTTGCCTGGAATGAGATACCACAGGAGGACATTGACCACCTGATCAGAAGCATGCCTAGGCGCGTTGGAGAATGCGTAGCACATCAGGGTGCATCCACACATTATTAAAGGTCAAAGGGCTTTAAAGCAGTGCAATCATTTTGAAATTTTTATCATTTACTTATTATGCTTCATTAAGTACTTATACAAAATTTTATTAAAATAAAACCATTTAAACTGGGTGTTCGGATTTATATGTCACTTAGTATATGTTGAACTAAATAACGTTTTCGCTTTCAAGGCAATGCAACGTAAAACTGAATATTGATCTGAAGGCCACACATTTTGTAGTTGAGTCTAATGATCCTAAAGCTAGATTATTTTGAAACGCAATCACTTCCATTTCTGTCGCAGCAATGTCTTCGCTAAAATTCTGCGTAACAGAAGTTGCAAACTGTTGAATATCAATTTCCGTGAAGGATGAAACAACACATTGCGCCACTATAGCAATTTCGTTGAAATCCTTGGATTTTTGAAGTTATCCTTCAAGTTAGAGACTATTTGTACATGATATTTACTGTCATATGTTTCTGAGGAACTTTGAGATATCTTTTCTGGAAGAAGACGAAAATGCCTGGTATCGCCATCGATAGAGTTTTGTTCCCAAAACTCAAGCTTTTTGATAAACGCTTTTGTATCAGAAACAATTTCTGCTAGTTCTCTGTCTCTCCCCTGAAGCTGCAAATTAAGTTCATTTAATTTTTCTGTAATACCCATAAGAAAACCAAAACCTGAAGGCCAGATTGAATTTTCCATTTTCGGAATCGGTTCATCACGTCGTTTGAAAAATTGAACTATGGCAGATATGGGTTGTCCAATAGGGACGCAGGAAAGTAAACGTCAATTTGACATAGACGCCATCTTTGTTTTTCTGTCACCGACATGTCATTTTGTTAGTTGAATGTTTACCATTGATCGCTATGGAGTCGTATTCGATTGAAGACCGCATTAAAGTTATTCAAGAGCACTATAAAAATGGTGCAAAAATAAAAAACACGTTTCGGTCGCAACAACGGCCCAAACGAAACAACCATCGGTCGTCTGGTGCGTAAATTCGAGGCAACAGGTTCTGTGGCAAATCTGCCAGGCTCTGGCCGGCCCAGGAGCGTTCGCACACCGGAAAATATTAATAAGCGCAGCTATGTTACAGTCAAGCAGAATCGCATAACAACCCTTTGTTGCGCGAGTCAGTAGACTACACAGTCGAGCAAGTTCGCAAGCACACAAGGCCGCGACTCGCGCTGTTAACAAAATTAAATTGTGCGACTTTAGGTCTAACCAAAATTATAATTTTTCTTCAACAACCAATCCCAAAATTAATTTTAGGATCAATTTAAAATCGCCGAATACTAACTAGCAATACCAAGGCACTCTTTGCTCTCCCTCCTTCCTTCCTTCCTTCCTTTCTTCTTCCCTTCTTTCTCCCAGACTTTGTTTGGTATCTGGGCAACCAGACCTGACAGACCTACTGACTTACAAGACTTCAACCAAGAGCAAAGGTCCTACGGACCGCTCTGACAGACAATGACGAATAGAGACCGGAAAATATTGCTGTTGTGAAGGAGAGTGTGAGAGACGATCCGAAACAATCAACAACGCGTCAATCCCAAGAATTGGGCATTTCGAGAACCAGTTTGCTCCGCATTCTCCACAAGGATTTGAATGTACACGCCTACAAGATCCAATTGAGCTGCGTCGGGCCGACCATTTTTCGCGCCGAACGTTCTCAGATTGGCTCCTTGAACACCGCCAAATTCATGCCAATTTTTCATCAAAAATCATGTTCAGCGACGAAGCGCATTTCACTTTGAATGGGACGGTAAACAAGCAAAACTGCCGCATCTGGGCGAACGAAAATCCTCGTGAGTATCAAGAGCAGCCGATGCATCCTCAAAAAGTGACTGTGTGGTGTGCATTGTGGTCAAAAGGCATCATCGGACCTTACTTTTTCGAAAATGCGGCCGGGGCGCCGTTACCGTCAATTCTGAGCGATATCACGTGATGATAGAGGACTATTTTTTGCCGCAACTTGAAGGAATGGATATGGACGATGTTTATTTCCAACAAGACGGTGCAACATGCCACACAACCAACGTCAATATCCAGTCCTTCTTCGGTGATCGCGTGATTTCGCGCAGAGGAAATGTGCCATGGCCACCAAGATCGTGCGATTTGACTCCCTTGGACTTCCTTTTATGGGGATATTTGAAAAGCAAAGTCTACGTCAACAAACCAGCCACCCTCCAAGAACTCGAAAACAACATCATTGCCGAGATAAATGCCATAGAACCAACCATGTTGCAAAATGTCATTGAAAATTTCGACCATCGCGTGGACGTCTGTAAATCCAGTCGTGGTGAACATTTGAGCGATATTATTTTTCATACATAAATGGTATAAATGAACCTTCAAAATAAAGTACCCAACTTGATTTGAATATCAATCTTTCTTGTTTTATTATGCGTTTACTTTCCTGCGTCCGTTTTGGACAACCCCATATCATTAAAACCTTTCAGCACTCGTCCCCTACTTAAGCATCGGACTTCAGAGTGAAGAAGTAGTTCCCGTATTGACAGTCAATTTCATCGGCCAAAGTTTTGAATAATCTTCTTTGTAACGCTTGAGCTCTAAGCTTGTTCATAATTTTTCTTACCAATGTCATAACGTTGTGGTAACAGAGAAATTTCGGAAAACTTTTATCTTTACGTCTCTCAGAAGAAATATTTTTAAAAGGAGAAAACAAGTCCTGCCCAGCAGTTTGTCCTTTTAGTGGAATAAACTTCCTTTAATCTCCTTTAATCGTAAAATCACGAAAAACCATCCTGACGAACACGACCATCTGAGAGGTGTCAACGAGATCTGTGGATTTATCCGTCTGAATATAAATTTTTTAGTTGTTACTTGTTTTATAGAGATAATACACTTTCCCAAAACAGGTAGGTAAACTTATTTTTGAAATCTGGCAAATGCCTTTTTTCAGCAGCATAGATGATTCACTGCCATCAATTTTGATATTCGGGTATATTCGTCTACAATTGAAATGTAACAAAAAAAAGCTCCATGCAAGTTGCATGGTGTCGGCAAGCCGCCACCGCTATAACTGGCCTCATTTTCAGAATGTAAAGTACGGTTATACCTGCCTCTACAGCAGCCCACATTTTAACAAAGGTACTATATTTGCACGCCGCGAAAGAACGATAACATCTGCCTGTGCCTCC